GCTCTGTGGTCGCTGCTTCAAGCCAGCAACACTCTACGAAGGCACAGCCATCACCGCTGTCACGACAAGGTCCGCGGACACGCCCCTTCTGGGCGCCGTGATATTGAGCTTCGGGGCGGGATGGGATTTCGCTTTGCTCTGACATTTATCTCCAACAGTCGAGAATAACGCTTGTTTTCCTAGTCGATGTCATTTTTAAAATTTTAAAGACACATTCCGCCATGAGCAGATGGGCGGAAACTTCCACTACCAATCCGCTTTCCTTACTGGTGTGTCACTCACCCTAATATAGTAAGTGGTAGGGGCGCACCAACGAGCAAGGCGCAATGGTTTTGAGTTTCTGCCCATCTCTCCACCCATTGTCGTGGTATGGGTATTCATGAGAGTTAAGAATGATACTCTTAGGTGACGAGTACATGTGGACATGTCATGAGTTTGGACTTCCCGCCACGTTTCAACAACTGGGAACGAATCGATCCGGTAGAACTGTACACAGCACCAACGACAAAAATTGAAGCGAATGCTAAAATGCATATGAATGATGTGAGTGGTCTAAAAAAATTTGGTTGTATAGGGAAAAATAAACGTTCTACAATTAACATTTCCAGTATCTGGCGTTGGAAGCAAAAGGTGCTGACTATCTGGTGCTATGGTTGGATTGTGACAAGGAAGGAGAAAATATTTGTTTTGAGGTTGTTCTGACTGCCTATGTTGGATAAGGGTTAGGAAGTCCGAATTGCGGCGGTGCGGCTACAGCGGCGTAGTGAGCGAGTGATGTGCGCGACGAATGCACCGCTATCCCGCAAGGAGGATAAATTATTGTAGCGGGAATTTTTTGCGTGTCTACGCAACTCGGATCACTTGAAGCACACCCTGTCGTGTGATTGGTGGATTCGAACTTAGTAGTATGCATCTAATGTGTATGCAGACTTTCTAGATGGACGCTAGACTAGACGAGGACGAGTCGGCGGAAATCTCTCTACAGAATCGACCTTGGGGGGGGGGCTGGGATCATATTTGGCCTGGAGGCAATTTTTCGCCTGGCGAACATGGGGCGGCACAGTCGGTGGGGGCATTTTGCATTGCCGCTAGTCCCACTTGTTGGTTCATCTTAACTAGCAGGTCTTACTTCGGTTAGGCCTGTAATCTCCTGTGAAGCTGCGAAATTGTTGGCCGCATTGGTTACAGGAAATAACAGGTCTTCACAAGAAGGTCTGATCTAGTTTATTCTGAGTACCATTTGGTGCCTCCACCAGGCCGAACTGCCTCCAGAAATGTCACAGCGCGCGTGTGGAACAAGTTGTGAGAGAGGGGGTTGTATTGTAGAGAATCCCATGATGAAATGCAGGAAAGGCTGACCGCTGTCAAAACGGAAAGCTATCTCCGGACGATGTCCAGTCGTTGACTGACAGTAATCGTTCGGGAAGGGCATCCAATGTGACACAGTACTGATTTTAATTCCTTGCATTCTTAGCGTTGTAACCAATTTTGCCGGGAATTGGGTATTGCACAGTCCCGTGGAAGTTTTCGAGAGGGGTTTTGCTCATGAAAAGGTGAGAATCGTCTTCAGAATCGGATCGGGGAAAGAGAAGGGATATTTGCCTTCCCTCCCTAGCAGCTGTCACTTTTGCGAAATAATCTGTTAAGGTTGTCCGCAAGTTCCAGACGTTTTGTGCACCTACACTTTTTTGAAATACATTTCACCTGGCTGATCAAAAACTCATTCTGGCCTTGGCATTATCAGTAGCGACAATCCTGATAGACGGATTTCTTGCGCTATATGATGGTCAATAATTGCCGTATTCAGACCGTTTGCTACTTCCCTTTTTCAGAGATTTTCTCAAGCAAGGTGAAAAGAGCACTCGGGCGAATTTTTTCGTCGGACTAATAAATTGGGGAATCACGCAAATCGAAAGCAGCTTCAACAATTAACCAGAGTGCTGGGCCGCAATAGCGCCATAGAGAAAGCAGCTGTGGCGGGCAGTAGGCGTCAACAACATATTCGTCCTGGATATTTACAGCCTTGAAGTGATGAAACGGCTCCATACGGCTCCGGACCTAAAAGAATAGTCTGATCGAGCGACCTTAGGGGATTTTTGGAGGCTGACATCCCAAACACGTATCAAGGATAGCAGAAGAGAGGCCGGGGTTATATTCTGGCAAATCAACCTGTTGGGCGGATGGTCTGGAACGACTTGGAAAGTGAAAAAAACTCGCACATGTTGGCGTAGCCCCACAATCGAAAGAGTGACCGCAGGATATCGCACGCATCGACAGCTTCTTACATGGGCAATTGCTTTTGCGGCAGCGAAACGACCTGTTCTTTTTGTAGGGCGAAATTAGTTCCACCATGTGGTGAAAATGGGTCATGTATGAATAATACAGGAGACGTTCCAATGCAGTGGTTGGATTGCGAACGAAACACCGAGGTATTTTCAAAGCCCAAAACCTCCTGCACGAAAAAAAGATTCTGGTCACGGCGTGGTGGTCATCGGCTGGTGTGATCCACTATAACTTTTTATCACCAGGCCAAACCATCACAGCAGAACCCTACTGTGGAAGAATCGACGAATTGTACCGAAAATTTTGTCAGATGCAGCCAACACTTATCAACAAAGAACAGGGTCCGATTCTTTTGCCCTGACAACGCCGCGCCCGCAGGTTAACCAATACTACCATAAATTTAACGAATTGGGATTTGAAGTTTCTACCACACATACACACGCCATATTCATCAGTCCTTGCGTCAAACCCGACATCACTTTCTAACATTTTCAGAACTACGGGTCTCACCGATGTGAGAATACTTCATACAATCAGACAGCAAAAAAGCCTAATAGGATTTCGTGAATTTTCGCACCACCGCCCCAGTTTTTTTTTACCTTTCGATGGGATTATCTGCGACAGCTGTCACAGCTGGCAAAAGTGTGGCTGGATGTGCTGATTCGAATGGTGCCTATTTCGATTAAATCCGATGAGTATTAAAAAGTTACGATCGTTTAAAGTGAAACACCCAAAACGCTGAGAACTTTCCGGACAACCTAATACTACCCTTTATTCTATCCTTGGTTACTTTTGCGAACAAATCAACCACGCTTATCATTTTCGAAGTGCTGAGCTCATTCGATTTTTAGTGTTAGCCTTATTTTATCCATGCCGCATTCATCGCCGTGACATACACTGACCTTGAAATGTTCTCTTGTGGCCCATTCCCTCTCCACTCTAACCAACTCTCCCCTCACTGTCGGTAACTTCATTGAATATCACACACTTTATTCACCATTTCTTAGACCCGATGCTCCAACCGCATGTAGCTGAGCCGGCACACATCGCCGTGACATACACTGACTGACCTACTAGTCCTTCAATGGGGTGCAACCAGTCCTTGAATGTGACTGCCTCACATCTCATATTGTCGATCACCTCCGCGAAGATCACAGCACTTTGTTCACCTCTGCTCGGACTGCTCCAGCTACGCGAATTCAGGCCACATACATCACCGTGCCTATACTGGCGCCAGTATAATCACTTATTAGAGCATATAGTGACTATGGAGGAGATATGCTTTCATTGTCAACACCCATTTTTTACTGACATCTGGTTACCAAATTTTGGTAGCAAAGCGGGCGCGATTCGGCTTGGTGGGGGCATTCCGCTGGTTCTTGTCGATCGCTGTTGACGTCTTCTGCAGAAACCTGTAAAATCCTATGGAGCTCTACGATAGCATGAACTTCGTTTACTTTTAACAAGTCTGTGCAGTTCTCACCAAGGTGTGACGTGTATTTCAAACCCTGAACCTAGTAACGAGAAAGCTGAGCACCCGGGAGAGAGAGAACGAGAGAGAAAGAAAGAGCCAGGAGAGAGAGATGAGAGAAAAGAGAGAGAGAGAGAGAGAGAGAGAGAGAGAGAGAGCCAAAGCGCGAAGTGCCCCTCCCAAACAGAACAGCGTCGCTAAACTATTACCGGGCATGGTCCTCGTTGTTTAGGTGATTGATGCAGTACGCGATGCGATGAAGAGACCTCAATACGGTAGTTTTATGGATAACGTTTATAGGTAAGTGTATGCACCTTTGAATTCCCTTCTGATTTTTGGAATTAGCTCGGCTTCATGAGCGCGATGTTTCCTGCGCATCACCATAAGGACATCAAGTACGCATGCAGAACCTGGCTCGTCTAATCACCGAATGGAGGTCTCTAGGCTGTAGATGGCTCGGCAAGAACTGGATCTGCGTGTCGGCTGCTCATTCACAAGATTCCAGACGAAATTCTTCCAGGTTTTCGTTTTCTTTGCAACATTTGAAGACGAGTTGTGCGCTCACCTCCGCTGATCCTGATTCTTGCAGTATTGGGGCGAGTACGTTCACAGCTGTAGTGGCGTGCCACTCTATTCCCATTCAATGTGGCAGAGGACGCGGGGCTGGATGCGTAGTTCTGGAGTACCTCCTCGCTTTCCCAGAACAACGCATCCCAACTATGCCCGCGCTGCTGCAAGGCCAGCCGCCCGCCTAACCATAGCCGAACGCGCTAATTGTCTGCCCTCACTCACTTATATTTGCTCTGCACTGCTGAGCGGGTGTTTCGCTGGGGGACCTTAATATCGACGAAAGTGCTGCACCTTAAGGATAGCGCGGCCGAGGTATGAAGACGGCACTTGGGTACCACCACGCCACTGGAGCTGCGAACCTATTCACCTCGCAAATAGAAATGACCCTCCTTCAAAAGTAAGTGTACAGTTTGTCTCCAGGTACAGCTTTAATTCCGCAGCTTGAGACCATTCTGTGATTTTTGTAGAACAAATATGGTGACCTCGACAGTACCGTAATCTCGTATGGACCATGCCAGACCCCAACACTTGGATTCTGCGTTACTCGCCATGATCAGATCACTCATTTCAAGGTGACTCCATTTTAAGCTTTTATAAGAACCACTCCTTTTTACTAAATTGAGAGACATTTTAAGCTCCGTTATTTTGAAGTACTGTCCTGCTTCAAACCCTCAGCATGTCTTAGCCTCAGGACGAATCGGACCCAGGAATACGTGCATATTCGACGGAATGGTCTCATGAGATTTGTTTTTTGGGCCCGCTTTGCAGTCCTGTAATGGGGTGCGCGACATCAAGGAGGGCACAGTCGTTGCGTGTCTCCGCCCACATAACGAGTGTGGACTGTGCTTTCAATGCTCACTTGCCTCTAGGGATCGGAGGCTGTAAATTTTCCCACTGGGGCGCCCTCTACGTTGGTCATAGGGGCGGGCCGCTCAGCCCTTTCTCTTCGGTGTGCCTTCCCTTCCAAAATGCCTTTCACAAACTTAGTGTGGTGAGCCTTTAAAGACACTTACCGCGATAAAGTGGTCCTCAAAATGAATTCGTGCTGTTTGGAACCCTCTACGCCTTGACGAAGATGATAGCACTTTTATTAGATAACT